GAACAGGCACATTTAATGTGCTGACTTCTATCTAGCCACAACATGTTGCTCAAAATGAAACTGAAGATTTAATCAGCATCCCAATTTCCTGGGCATTGCTTCTGACTTCGAATTTATTACATATATATACAGGGGTTGGACAAAAATATGGAAACACCTTTAAAAAAACATGTTTCTTTGTTTTATATGTTTTATGTTTCTTTGCTTAATATGGTGTAGGAAACCCGTTGGCATCCAAAACAGCTTGCAGTCTTCTCGGAATGGATAAATACAGTTCCTGTATGTTTGCCAAGGGAATATTATACCATTCTTCCTGCAAACGTGGCAAGTTCAGATAACGATGTTGGCAGGGGATAACGAGAACGCACTTTTCCGTTCCATGCAGACCACAAAGGTTCGATAATATTTCAGGTCTGGTGACTGTGGTGGCCAGGGGAGATGGACAACTCATCCTCGTGCTCATAAAACCAGTCCTGGACAATGTGAGCTGTGTGAACAGGGGCTTTGTCGTCTTGGAGACACCATCACCATCGGGAACAAAGTTTGTACCATGGATGAACTTGATCGGCCAAAATGTTCACATAAGTCTTGGCAGTCATGTGCCCCTGACACAGTTATCATGGGCTAGCAAGACCACGATATGCTGCCCAAGCATAACAGAACCCCCGCATGTTTCACTCTGGCAACAAGCAGTCTGTATTATAGGCTTGAGATGGCGTTCTCCAGACATAAACTCGCCAGAAGTGGGAAACAATGTAAGAAGACTCGTCAGACTATTTATTACTCCGCTTCCACTGCTCTATAGTCCAGGCTTTATAACTTAAACACCACCTTTCCTGTTACGGGCATTAGCATCACTTATTAGTGGCTTCTCAATTGCAGCCACGGCCAGCAATTCCCTGTTTATGAAGCTCCCTTCTCATTGTTTAGTACTCACAGGGTTCGGTACACAACATTCATTTCAGCATACTTTTGCAGCGTGGTCTTCTTATTTTTCATCACAATTGCCCTTAATGATCGTCTGTCCACGATCACTCAGGACACACTTTCGTCCGCGCTGTATTTTAGCATGATGGTTTTCCGCTTTCAATATGCGGAATAAATCTTCGATACAGTACCTGTTGAAACACTAACACCTCGGCTACCTTGCTTACGGAGCACCTACCATAAGTGCTCTCACAATTTGCCACGTTCGAAGTCTGTTACTCTGACATAATCAATACAACCTCACATAACAGTACTCCCGACAACACTGAACTGTTAGCACATTTACGAAGTTGTATAGGTGGCGTCAGTGTAAAAATGCAGCGCCACCTACATATTTCATTAAAATCAATCTTTCTTTTCAAACATGCATTTCACAAGGTGTTTCCATATTTTTGTCCATACACTGTATGTGTGTGTGTATATATATACATATATGTGTGTGATATATATAATGATTTGGTGTAGATGACGTTGATTTTCATCTGCACACATAGAGGAGCACATAGAGAGCTGGTAAATATCTCAGGGTTAGCAGATATATTTCATAACACAACAGAGAAGAAAAGCTTTAGCAGAAGTGTCATTGATTCGTGTACAGTCTTATTCCCGTAATTAAAACAAATTCACAAAGCATTAGGTGCTCTATGCACCTGCACAATTTTGAAAGTTTACACCTTTTTTGGTTCTCTTCTGTTATCGTGATTGGATTCAGAAATGTTATCTGCATGCGTGTAAATGTATACACCATACATACCTACATACTTGTACACATGCATACATGAACACATACATCTATACATACATTTCTGAATTTGTTCCCAATAACAGAAGAGTACCTCTTTTTTAGACAAAGACTAATTGCGGGACACAAAAAACATCTATGGCTAGCAAAAGCAAAATGGGTTATGAAAAGAAATGTTACAGTTAGTAGCAGTGGTATTTATAATAAAAATTTTCTTTAATCTGGTTGGCTGAGAGCTATTCTGCAGCTTACACATATATAAGAAATAAATTTAAAAAAAAATGGTTTAAATTGATCTGCTGATATTGGAAATACAATCGATTGCCAAATGTTACAATAAAATGTTAGCAGTAAGGGCAGCAGTAATTTATGCCAAATACCCATAAATCAGTATGTTCAGTATAACAGTCATACATTATATGGAGCATATTTCAGTGTAAACAGTTTTTATAGTTTTTTATGATAAGTTAATCATAAAAAAATGACAGGTTGAGCATTAAACCCTTAACTGCCGCAGGCGTATATATATGTCTTGCTCAGCCGATGCGTAAACTGCCTTCCAAACTACTATCATTTGCTTTGCGTTGCTACCCGTAACATTATTCGCAAAGCTTTGGAATGAAACACCACAATGATCTTGACAAAGTATGCGAAAGTGGATACTATTTCAGAGAAGTGTGGGGAGAAATTGGAGAGAGGGGTGTGTCTAAAGCGGTGAAAGTAATGACTGTGCGATATTGGCTGGTGTTGCTTGTGGAGTATACGTGGAGTATTTAGAAACAGAAATTCATAACCGTGTCGTGGAAGTCTATGGGCCAGGTGTGATGTCAAAGTAAATGGTGCGGAGATGGTGTCGCACATTCAGTGATGGACGTCAGCAAGTGGAGGACATACCGAGAGCTGGACGGACGCGCACGGCCACTACAGATGCAAATGTCAGGAAGGTGGATGACATGATTAGAGCAAACCGGCGTATCACCATCGATGAAGTAGCGGAAGAACTTGGAATCTCACATGAGCGAGCTCAAAACATCATTCACGACATTCTTCGATACAGAAAAGTGTCAGCACGATGGGTGCCCGACAATTGACCTTGACACACAAGGAACAATGCATTGGGGTCAGCCTGGAACATCTCATGCGTTACCATGAAGATGGCAATGATTTTCTGTTTCGGATTGTGACGGGGGATGAAACATGGGTCCACCATTTCACGCCAGAATCGAAGGCCGCATCTATGGAGTGGAAACATCCGTCATCACCTGTCCGAAAGAAGTTCAAGACAACTCCCTCTGCAGGTAAAGTGCTCCTCACAGTTTTCTGGGACGCCCAAGAAGTTTTGTTGCTGGACTTTTTGGAGGTTGGAACCATCAATGCTACGTGCTACTGTGACACCCTGTCGAAATTGAAAGAGGCGATTCGGAAAAAGCGGCCTGGCCTTCTCACATCTCTGGCGTCTGCTGTTTGGATGACAATGCCAGACCACATTCGGCGACGGCAACGCAAAACCATATTGCAACTCTTGGTTGGGAGCGCCTACACCATCCGCTATACAGTCCTGATCTCGCACCAAGCGACTTCCATCTGTTCTGGCTTTGAAGAAAAATATCGGGGAAGGCGCTTTTGGAAGCAATAAAGTGAAATAAGCCGTTCAATGCTTCTTCCATATGCAAAGCCCTGATTTTTTCCTGGAGGGCTTTTTTTGAAGCTTATCAAGCGATATGACAAATGTCTCATGTACTTGGTACCTATGTGGAAAAATAAAGGTATGTCATATCTTTAATGCCTCATTCTATTTTTTGACTTTCATACACAACTCTGACCACAGTCGACAGGGGAAACTTATTTTTCAACTTACCCTCGTATAATCAGTGTTTGATGAAATTTTGAACAAAGGTGAAAGGTGATCAGATGATTAAGCCATCAAAGACTTTTAACAGATGGAAAGAAAGTTATGCCTGCTTAAGGGAAAAAGTACTTAGCTTTGATCAAAGCAGAATTTCTCTTTAGCATGGTAATGCTTATCTTTCACTTTGAAGAGATCTTGCCCTTTTCTTTAAACAATAATATCTCATCCATAACAAAATTCAAATCTTGTTCCTTCCAACATTATCTTTCAGTCTATGCTTATTACCTTTCTGTTGGCAAGCTGTTTACAAAGTTGACATTAAAGATCTATAGAAGGTATACCTTTAAAAAAAAAAAAAACTGTCAAATATGAAGACCTGAACTTTGAAAAATGTTTTGATTTTGAACATGTTTCTTTTACAGTATTACACACAGGATTTGACTGGAAAAATTGGAATCAATAGACTTCAACAGATACTACATTACTACAAAAACATCAGAAATATGGCTACTTGTTTAATTGCATCAATTAAAATATTATGGTTATAATAAGTGAAATACTGCTTTTGGAAAGAGAATTTTTTCTAACTGAAAAATAATAACAACTCTAACTACAATCGCTTTACTGCTTTTTCCTGTCAGCTATAAGCAAATACTTCATGACTACTGTTGATGCACCAGTAGTCTGTGTTTTTCAAGAAGATTTCCTTTTGTATATATTTCCTATTGTAAATAGTTATTTTCTTCATGTCTCTACAGTGCATAGATATACTTTTCCACTCATATCACAAAAACATTCCAGTATGAAATCACCCATGCTACAACAGTACCTTATTGCAGTATATTCAGTGATGTTTTGATTAATGATGTAAACTCAGGTATATAACACATTTGAAATAAAAAATGAAGCTTCAAGTTTAATACATCTCTTTCTAAAATACATAGTAATACAGTGCATAGCCATACTTCTAATTCATGTTGTACTCATTTAAAAGAAAAACTGAATTTTTCAAATTAATAATCCTCAAAACTACATGTTTTCATAAAAATAACAAAAATAAGGTACCACTAAATGGGAATAAAAGATAAATTAAAAGTTCCAAAAAATATGTCTCTAATATTTTTTTTTTCAATTACTAGATACAAAAGACATAAAAAAAAAGTAGGAATGAAATAATAGGTTAACACAGGAAGTATCATTTCAGATGAAATACAATGCTAATTTTAACACAGCAGCAGTATAATTAAGTCATGCTGACACTCACCCTTACATGTAATACATAAATTACCATTTTTCCACACAGCAAAAACAACAAACTAATGTGATAATACATCCCTCATTTTGCTAAATATTAAAAATAAATAAATAAATAAATAATAAAAAATAAAATAAAATAAAAATTTAAAAAAAGGGATACTTTACCAATGTTCGATTATGTTTCATTTTATTCCACTCTTCTTCTGAAGGCAAAATTGATTCTAGAAGCTCACTTAAAACAAGAGCTGCATAATGAATATCTGGTTTGTGAAGAGACATAGCCTCATCCATTGATGAAAGCAAAAATGAACTATGTTGCAATATCTCTGATGCTCTAAAAGAGTAAAAAGAAGATAGTACGATGTAGAGAAGTGCTTCTTAAGGCTTTTTTTCATTCATACTCCCATTTTATTATCGCAATTTTTTCACCACCCCAGATATTAAATGTAAAATTAACATACAAAAGCAAATATCTTCCTTTAAATAATTTGCTACATTGGTAAATAACACAAATATGAAAAGTATTAGTTTTAAGACTTGCTTCAATAAAAAAAATTATGAAAGAAAATCATGTTTAAACAAGTGTGTTTTTCCTGCATAATAAATTAAATTTTGGTGCAATATTTGAAAGTTCTGGATTTAAAGCATCTTCAGTGTTTTTCAGCCTTGGATGACTTTTGAATTTAATAAGTGTTAAAGTTGAAAAACTCATTTCAAACAACTATGTGGTGCTGAATAGCAGAACATTTAACACCACTTCAGAAATTATGGTAGATCCGTTCAAGCCTTGATCCAGAACTTAATAACGGATTTTGAAAGGAAACTCAAGTTTTAAGTCCGAATCACATAGCAGATTACTTTTGGGCTTTACATGGCAAGTGTCAAACAAAAATGGTTTCTGAATCCAAGATAACTTTTTGAAATGAAAATTCAATATAAAGCATTTTCAAAAATATGTTTTTGAATTAAGTGATCTTCCATAATTTGTGCAATTAAAACTTTACTATTTCTTTTCAATTATAAAATTGTCGATAGTCAGAAACATTTCAAATGAATCATTTTCCACCCCATTCTTCCAAATATTGATCTTTTTAATCAATTTTATTTTTTCAGGCAAATATATTCCTAATTTTTCCTTGAAGCGACAAGTTGAGATAATTTATTTTCTCAGAAATATCTCAAAAATAAGGCAGCTTTAATAGCCATTAGTCATTTTGAAAAAGAATAGCTAGATTTTTGTTTGGTTAAAAATATACTCATTTCATGCTTTAATAGCATTACTTTTCTTAAACTTCACCCTCTTGATGTCCATTTTACTTCTGCTCAAAGTCCATGCCTTTACAGAGGTTTGAAAATAAGCTGCTTTTAATAAAGTTTATAATTTTGACAGCATCCTGAAGCATATCATTCAACTCTATTGCTTTTGTTTTGCTGCTAAGGCATCTTAATGGATCAGGCTATGTCTATTAAGTTACATAATAACTGCCAGTTACTTTAACAATTGATTTAAAACACATAATTTTGCCTGTCACTACTTTTGCTACATCTGTGGATACTTCAACGCATTTTTTTCATTTTAAACATTCTGAAAAATTCGTCAACTTTACTCAATATACCTTCTCTGATCTTCCAAATTAAGATAAAATAAAAATTAATGTTTTTGTCATTATAAATGTATATGACATATACTAATTGTTTTGTCCAATTGAATTATATATTTTGGACTTTCCTTAAGTCTAGCAATCAGTTACCTGAAGTAGTTGTTGCAAATTTCAGAAATTCTGTTGGCCACAGTGTCATTTGACCAATTAACTTTCCTATTTTCATTGCCCTATTTACTTCCATGAAATATTTATGCCATTCTGATAGCAACAAGTAATACAAAATCAGTTACTTTGGTAATAGTACTTTAATATCAGGTTTTTGGTTGCATTATCTGGCAGAAGGTAATCAAAGAATATTTTAATAGCAGCAGATAATACAGGCAATACAGATATGTGGCTTTTTATTTTTAGCAGTCAAACATAAAACTTCCTGTTCCTAGCTATTTTTCGCTAACAGTCATAAATTTCTTAAAATATTGTTTCTCTTTACTTGAAAATTCTAATAGTCATTCAGAAAATTTTTCTGGCTCATTAACAATTATTCTTTTAAAACTGCTGTGATTCAAGATACTGGCACTAATTTATAACTGTGCATATTATTTTTATATAATCAAATGGCTGCTATGCATGTTTTATAATAGCTACATTGTTCGTGCATGTAATACTCTCCTTGACTTACCATAAATAGTAGCAAGTTTTCTCAAAGTCCCAATTATTGTTGTTTAGCTAATTAACGCATTTCAAGTACTCAGATAGTTTTGCAGTTACATTACCTTACTCTAACATAATTTATATATATTTTAATACTTGACTAGATTATTTAAGCTAATTATATTTGTCATAAACTAAGCATTCCCGGCACCCTTCTATTATTAAAAATTAGCATCTTATATCATTTTACACTTATCTCATGTGTTTCAGTTCTCAGTACAATTAACAATAACTGATGTATTTATACAACTATACCATAGTAGTGTCCATATTTTATTTAATTCTGTGAATATTACTTGTATGCATCAGCATCCAAGCAGCATGTGATTAATGGCCTTAAATTAAGATACTTATTCTTGGAAATTTTCTTCTTCTGGTCAATAGCATTATAATTACCAAAAATTAGTATAATTATTCAGTCATTAGTTTATAATTCTGTGATTATACCATAAGTAACCATACATTATTTGTAGCATCTGATTTCGAGAATATCAGTACTCTTATACCCGAGAACCTCTGTGAGCGAGAGTAGAGTAGAATGTAATGTAAACTGCGTAAATAAATAAGGCGCATAGCTGCTATCTTATGAGTTAGTTAGAAATAAATGTTTGTGCCGTGAACTAGTCTTATTTGGTTGTGTCATGCACTTTGTCACTGAACGTCCCACACCACAAGACACAACAAATTGGCAATGAGGTGGATGTGAGAAGAAAATCTATCGTTCCCGACTCGCGCACTCGGTTACATGCGTAAGTAGTCTCAAAACCGAAACTTGGATTTAGGGGATTCCCCGAAAACTGCAAAAGGTAGGAAAGTTATTTGATTTTTATTTTGAAAGGATGGAGAAGTTAATTGAAGAATTGATAAAGCAGAATGAAGCTTTAATGGTCGCATTGCAACTTACTATCTTCGGATAATTCTTCAGAAAAAATTTTACCGACTAAAAAAGGTTCTTAAGGATCATTTAAATCCTAAAGCTTTAATAATACCTAGTCGGCACATGTTTATTAACAGAAAACAGCATGAGGGGGAATCAATTAATAGTTATGTCACGGAATTATGCTCATTAGCAATTCCTTGTGAATATACAGAGGATATGCTAAATACAATGTTAAGGGATGTTTTAGTTAGCGGTCTATGAGATCGTAATATCTTAAATCAATTATTTCAGGAAGATGATATCGATTTAGAAAAAAACATTAAAGATAGCCTTGGCGATGAAAAGGCAGTTAAGGGTGCAAATGAGATTATAGGAAATTCCATAGAACTGAGAGCACTTAAAACCAAAAAAAAAATGAGTCCAAACCGCGGAAACAAGAGTTTGTTGCTAAGAATAATAAAGGTAAAAATGAAACTTATTCACGTTGCTTAGAAGCAAATCACAATAAAAACAACTGTAGATTTGCAACAAGTGAATGCCATTTTGTAAAAAAATTGGACATATCGAAAGGGCGTGTTATTTGTCTAAGAAAAACAGACAGGTTAAACAAAAGAAAGTTGAGGCAAATAATGATTATGATTCGAAAAATGAGGTCCCCATCTATGGATTTAACTCCAGAACGCACATGTTAAGAGAGGAAGAGCCAAAAAGACCACCAATAATGCTTCAAGTTAAAATTGAAAACAAACCAGTTAGCATGGAACTTGATACTGGGGGAACAGTTTTGGTAATGTCTATAAATAAATTTAGAAAAATTTGCAATAAAAAGATTCAGCCTAAAAATTAGTTTTAAAAACTTACAGGGGTGATAAGGTGGTACCTTTAGGATATGTTTAAAGTTGAATACCAAGAACAAAAATTAGTTTTAAATCTATACATTGTGAAGGAAAATTTGGACACAATCTTCGGCCAAGAATGGCTGTATAAATTCAACTCAAACTCGATTGGAATTGCCATCAAAACATTGAAAACTTCTAGTGAATTGAATTTAAAAAAATTACTTGAGAAGTATAAGGAAATTTTTGATGGTAAATTAGGTGAAATTAACAGTCACGAAGTAAAACTAAATTTGAAACCTAATACTCTTCCAATGTTTTGTAGGTAACGACCGGTACCTTTCACATTAAAAAATAGAGTTGAATCAGAAATTGATCGTCTTGAGAAAGAAGTTATCATTGAGAGGGTTGACTTCAGAATGGGCAACACCACTTGTGCCAATTGTTAAATCCGATGGTTCCATTAGGCTTTGTGCTGATTATTCTGTGACTCTGAATCCTCATTGGGAAGGGCCACAGCATCCATTATCAAAACTCGGAAGAAATATTTTCATGCCTTAATGGAAGTAAAAATTTCTTGAAACTTGATTTCAGTCATGCTATCTACAAATGAAGGTGCATCCAGAGAGCCAACGATTATTAACAATAAACACGCATAAGGGGTTGTATATTTGTAAATGCTTAATGTATGGATAAATGCTGCCCAGCTATTGCAGGCTAGTTGAGGGATATTTCAGGGGATTGAAGAATAAAATTTTTGGATGATGCTCGGTGACAGGACGGATGATCATTCATTTAAAAATTTTTTTCAAAAAAAGCAAGGAGACGGCTAAAATTAACTTAACTAAAAGTAAATTTTTTCAAAATGAGATTAAATTTTTAGGGCATAAAATTGATGCCGATGGATTTCATAAGACGGATGAAAAGATTTCGGCAATTGCTAATGCCCCTACGCCGAAAGACGTCAAGACATCAAAAGCTTTTTGGGATTAGTGAGTTTTTATGCCACATTTTGCCCTAATTTGGCAACTTTGGCATATCCCTTAAATAATTTAACAAAAGAAGATGATAAATGGAATTGGTATAAAAACTGCCAAATCGCTTTTGAAAAAATGTAAAAGAAAATTTGTTCAGACAGAGTTTTAATGCATTACGAACCCACATTACCGTTAATGCTAGCTACTGATGCATCTCCGGTAGGTCTTGGGGCAGTGCTCTCGCATGTTTTGTCTGATGGAACAGAAAGGACTATAGCATTCGCATCGAGGACACTGACTAACACACAGAGCAGAAATACGCCCAA